CCCGAATCGCAAAACATTTTCAAGGGAAACAGGTAAAAGTTACTCCATGAAAAACAAATTCTTACGGAAGTTCGGGTTATCTTATTATGAATAGGATATCAAGAAATCTTCGCGGTTTTTTAGGTGGATATTTACAGGGTGAGGCAAAATTGTGGTGCACTTTTATCTGTCAGCATTTATGACTAACTTTTAGTACTCAATTCTGACCATGAATATTATTTGTAGAAAAGATGGCAATTCCAAAATTGTTTTGAAATACTTGCCGCTAGCTTCACACACCCTTCGAAACGAGAAGAGCATTGGGTGCAGACCATACACCACAAGTGACGACGGCCTCCAAGTAAATCTGGTTAGTAGTGGTTCATAGTGATAGCTGATTTTTGGTAAATGATAGTTGTAATTAGTGACAACTGATAGAATACAACTGCAACAGGCTAATCATTTCATTGGCAGAAAACATTTACATTTTGTGGAGGCCGTCGTCACTTGTGGTGTATGGTCTGCACCCGACGCTCTTCTCGTTTTTTGAAAGAGAGAGTGGTTCTTTCACCTTCAGCATGTGCGTCGCATGCGGCACATAGATACCCTCCCCTTCAAAAAGCGAGAAAGTGTCGGGTGCAGACCATGCACCACAAGTGACGACGGCCTTCACAAAATGTTAATGTTTTCTGCCAATGAAATGATTAGCCTGTTGCAGTTGTATTCTATCGATTGTCACTAATTACAACTATCATTTACCAGAAATCAGCTATCACTATGAACAACTTCTAACCAGATTTACTTGGAGGCCGTCGTCAGTTGTGGTGTTTGGTCTGCACCCGACACTTTCTCGCTTTTTGAAGGGAGGTTATTTCCCCATCAATTTCGGTCCACGATTTCAGAAGCGCCGCTATTGGAGGGTTCAAATCTGGGTGTATGATGAACTAGACTTTTCTTTTCCAGGCAGCCTATTTTAAATCATATCATTCTAGATCGGAGAACTAAAGGCCATTCGTCGCGAATATTAGATGCAATTGTTGATCATTGCTCAACGTTTATTCCTTGACCACTCGTTCTGTCTGACAAACTTTGGCAGAAATTTACTTTCGTAACGTTTTTTAAAGTAAACGACTTGCTCATATGGTGTATTTCATTCCTTCTCATAAGGGGTATATTTTGCAAAGGCTTTGCTCTAGCAAAGCGACTTCTCCACTTTTTGTAGCGAAGAACCTTTTTCGCTGCCAGAACCCAAGGTCACCACTGTAGAAGAGTGGAGTTAGGGCTCTCGTAGCAAAAAAAGTTTCGCATTGCGGAAAGCGGAAAAGTCACTTTCTGTCCTAGCGATCCACACCCACCCATCGATGGCGCCAGACTCGTTTCTTCCTCTTCTCCCTAGCGTTAGTCCCGCGCAGTCGCAGGGTCCGCTGTCTTTGTCAGCCGTCGCCATGTTGTTCTATCCAGGGCATCTTCTGCTGTGACCCCCACCTCAGTGAGGTCCTTCTTGATGACGTCTCTCCACCTCTTCTTTGGGGCTCCTCGTGGCCGCTTGCCTTGTGCTTCGAAGTCCATTGCTGTTCTTATCGGATGATCCTGTGGCCTCCTCAGCACGTGCCCATACCATCGAACGCGCTGCCTCCTTCAGCATGCTTTCAGCTGGAACATGTATCTTGTCTGCATGTCTGTTCCTGTACATATCTCGTTTTGTGACTCTTCCGCCCCCCTCCAGCACAGGCCCGCCCTCAGTAATTCTCATTTCAAGCCGAGTGAATCCTCGCCTTTTTGCGTTGCTTGTTCAGTGGGCCAACTCGCTGTCCGGAACGTCGCAGCCTTAATTCACAGTCCGCGTACGACCTTCTACCTTCGAGCAAATTCTCTGGATCAGGCTCAAACCCTACCGTTGACTTCCTTTACTGACACAACTTGAACGACCCCCCCTCCTTCCACGAACCATCTTGCGTACTGAACCTTCTCTCACAACTTTCTTCTTTGCCTCAAAAAAACAACCGTCGGGAAGCGGGAATATACGCACGCTGAAACGGCAAATTTTCTTCCCGCGCGCTCTCACCTCATCACATGTAATTTCGTGCTACCGAAACAAGTACGACCCTCCCCCACCACAAACTCACTCAACAAACTACGACCCCCTCCCCTTTGGTACATTGTCCCAACGTAGGGTTGACCTGCTTCTGGAGCCACTCTTCGATCTCAAAGGATTCCTTGACCTCCATCCCATTGTCATCCAATGCAGCGTGACCGATCCTTCACTGTCAGACCTCCACTATTCGATGGTCTCCCCATGGCCGTCCACGATCGGCTCTGCACCCTCTTCGGAGCTCAGAAACTTGATCTTCTTGACATTCAGCCGGAGCCCACCTTTTGTCAGGACTTTCTGCCATTTGGCTGCACTTGGCTTGAGATAACCTACTCTGCTATATCTTGCACATCGGCTATTTATGTATAAGCCAAATCGCATTTAAGATGCTCCAGTGAGCGGAATGGAAGGAGAGGTAGTGCATCCGAAGAAAGGTTTGGTTAGCGCTAAAAGCTTATGATTATCTTCATGACCGATCGCAATTAAGTCATGTGGGAGACACCCTGTTTCAATAACTGGCATTGATATAAATATTGTTTACTGAACGCGGAATTTTTACCAGGTGTTCTTCTCGATCGGATTACGATGACAGAGGATACGGTATTGGCCTTGGCAGCAGCCTCTTTTTGTGGCGTTTATCACCTGAATTTGAGCGCATCCACTCCCGCGATGACCCTTATAATGAAACATATGCTATAATATTTTGTTTGTTCTAATGTTTTGATATTTGATATCGTTGTTGTATCATCATTACCGTTCCCTGTGTAAAAGAAATTGCGCACTTGTAAATGTTGAAATGTTTTCGGCTATGTTTGAACCACGAATTACAGTTCTCGGTACCTTGAAGGTACGGTCGTGATCAGATTCTCAAAGGCACGGGTCGCGATTAGGTTCTCAGGGCAATTTTCCACTTGAGTGGGTCGCCAAAATCCCGCATAACAAAGGTCGGGCGCTTATCGAGCAACTAAAAATGTACCAGACTACCCCCTATCTCTGGCGCAAGCCGCTGCCATTCTACCTTGCAGCACCATGTGCCAACCCCCTCGGCTTCCGTACTCTCATCAAGGTTTACTTTCCTCGCAACGCTTCTCCTCCTCGTACACACGATCTCACCGGCGCCTTGCAAACAGGAGCCCTTAAACTCCAAATGTTTGCTAATGTCATTGCCTATTTCGCAGCGACAAACTTCATTTCTGAGCGAGAAAGCAAGAAATCCTGTAATGATACGCGCGCTTGAGAGTCGTCAGAACCTATCAGCGACGCATCGCGCGATCAATCGCACTGTTCTGACCGACATTTCGATATTCCATGGGAAATTCCAAACACATACATAAGGATAACAAACAGTATGAGTTTTTAACAACTGTCACAATAGGCATACCAAATACAAGTCCACAGATTATTACACAAAAAGCACCGATAAGACATCATTCACTTGTTTTTTAACATTCATAACAAACAGGCGTTACGTGGCTCGCCGGGAGGGAGGGGGAGGCAGTCGACGACTTTAATAGTAGTTCCTGACCAAGGTGACCTTGCATATTCGAACTTTTGTCACAAAAAATGGCTCACGCACCCAACCCTAAATTGCCCTTGTTCCGACGCCAGTATCTCCCGTTTCAGTAAGAAGGGAGCATTTCCTCCCCGTCCCCACTCCACACCCCTTAGAGGCATTCAGTGATATTCTGGCGCTCAAGACTTAAGGGCCATTCAAAAACAGGCCGGGTAGGCGACACTAGACATATAAGCTCATAGTGAGGAGAAACGCAAGGGGGACACAGACTGCTCACATCCATCCCAGAATCCCCTCCTCTCCCTAAGGCTTGGTCGGCGCAGTGTGGCACGAGGGGGGCCAGTCGTCGCGCGCGATCTCTGCATTTTTCTGTGCAAGCATTTCCTCTTCGCTAAATCGGGACTAAGCCTCAGGGGAGGAGGAACTCCAGGATCATAGCAATTTCCATCTTCCCAATGTTCCTGCCCACTCCTTAGCTTACCAGGAAGGTCTTTCAGGGCGTGCCAAGCTTTTTGAAAACGGTCTTTTGCATGATATAGGGGCACATGCGGGAACCACAGAACCATGGTTAATTTTTCCTGAACGGCCCTCTGAATACCAGAAAAGGGGGTCCCTAGTTCGATTCCTCGTGGTGACAAATTTTTGCATTTCGAGTTGACGTTCCAAAATTCGCGCAAAATGGAGTTAGCATGAATAATTAGTACCATATTCATGATTAGGACCGTCAGTAACCTTACAAAAAGACTTTGACTTAAAAATTGGTGTAAGAGGTGTGACACCAAGCAGCCCCACTGTGGTGTCACACCTTTTTCACCAGTTTTTTAATCAAAGTCTATTTGTAAGGGTTACTGACGGTCCCATTGTCATGCAACAAACTATTTTGAAGAAGCTTGGCACACCCCGACTTTCCTGGTTAGTACTACAGGGCACGGACGAGCAGCGGAGCGCGGCGACTGCCTCCCCCCCGGGCCACATTGCGCCGGCTTCGCCCCAAGCACAGTAATCGGTTCACTCATATGATTGTTCTCCCCCCCCCGTGTTAGAACAGAAAACGACTCATCCACGTTTGCAGCGCGAACATTTTTCGCTGCGGGAACCTCGGGTCCACAGCTGATCATCAGGGGACCTGAGGTTCCCGCAGCAAAAATGTTTCGCGCTGCAAAACGCGAAAAACTCGCCTTCTGTCCTAGTGAACCACAACGCCAGCATCATCCTCGCGGGTTGTGTTGTGTCCATACGTGTGATGAGGCGCACGGTCCGCTGCTGCAGACAACTTTTTTGTTTACGCCGCTGAACGTCTCATGATTTGTTCGCGTTCAGTTTCAGGCTGAAGAAAGTTTCTACCTTTGTTGACCGCGAGGAGTGGCGTATGTCATTGATTAGCCTGTTACTGTTCCTTTCACCACTCTTTTCAGAATGCTCCGTACCGCTGGGAGGAGCCTCGGATTCCGCTTGACGACATTCCGTGCACTGAGCACTGAAAAACCAAAACCACCGAAGAAAACTAAGGAAGAGATCATGAAGGAGAAGACTCCTCCGGGAAAGTTGGATGAGGTGGTATGGCTTTCTATATTTCGCTATAAATTTGGAACAATGATCAAGTGCATACAAATGGACGCGGTTATAGTTGTTTTTTGAGTTTCGTAATGATTTTTTGTTAGTTATTAAAAGCTGCAGTGATATTTTTCATTCTTGCCACGCGGTTTCGTCAACAATGTGCTGCTTCGGAGCCGTCTCAGTATCAAGCTCCCCACTTTCTTCACGATTTGGGGCGCGGCCGCGGCGAGCGCGGCCGAGTCGATAGTGCCCGCGAACTGTGTGGGTAAATTTGAAAACGCATCACCACCACAGTTCGCGGGCACTATCGACTCGTCCGCGCTCGCCGCGGCCGCGCCCCAAATCGTGAAGAAAGTGGGGGAGCCGATTCATGGTAATAGCTTTTTGTTATTTATTAAAAGTTTGCAGTGATATTTTTCATTCTTGCCACGCGGTTTCGTCAACAATGTGCTGCTTCGGAGCCGTCTCAGTATCAAAAGTAGTACGCGATGAGGCGGTATAATTTCAAGCGAAGGAATTCAAACCCTCACAAAACCAAATCTCAAAATCGTCGCATGATCCAATTCTGTCTATTCTTCCTGACATCCGCTTGAAAGCTCACAGTAATCAGTAGTACAACATGTGAGTTGCATAAGCACTGCTGCTATAACTTAATTGTGTTGTTTTTTTTAGGTTTTATGATCGCTTTGCAAATAGTAAAGCTAAGCAGAACAAACCGCTACAGCAGAACGCCAAGCCGTATAAAAAAGCCAAAAAAAAAAAATATCGAAGAGAAGAAGATTTTTTGCAGAAACCGTTATGAAGATCCGTATCTACCGAGACATCCAGGCGGAGTGAATCCCATTACTGGAGAGGTTCGTTCGTCTCGATCGGGTATTGAAGATTTTCAAGTATTCATTCTTTCGATCTATTCTCCAAGAAGAGCATTGTTTGTGTACTTTGTGCTGTCATAATATAATCAAAATTCTAGCGCAAGTGAATATTACTACTTTTCACAGGGAGTGATGGAGAATTGAGAAAGCTAAGGTTGTATTAGCACATCATATCTATCCACTTTCAGTACGCATTGAGTTATCGTATGCCCATTTCATTAAGTGACCAAAAATCTATGGGAGCCATTGGCAACTCCTGGCGCAATGACTGGCAACTTCTGGCGCGATGACCCTTCATTCTGTTTTGTACTTTCGTCATAAGCTGTTGTTCCTACCGTAAAGTGTTAAAATATTCTCCCTTCTTTTATGGTACACTATCCCAAAACAGCATACCTTGAATCAAAATATGAATGAGCTTTCTAGATTGGTGGCCCAGCTGGTCCTGAACCAACTCGATATGGAGACTGGGAACGCAAAGGACGTGTCACCGACTTCTGAACACCTCTTTAGTTGTTTTGTATACAGAAATAGTATATCTTGAACTGTATAGACTTAAACCTATGGAATTAATCCGTACGTTGTAGTACGATAATAAATTTTGTTTATACGATCTGTGTTTGCTATTGGATTCAAATGATTCCATCCTTATCTCTTACGTAACCTGCATTAATTGCTTATATGAAATAAGTAGTGGAAAAGTTTAACTGACTGCCGAATTTTTGTGAAGTTCAAGACGTTGTGATGTTGCAGAAAACACGACGGTACGGGGACATAAATGGTGCCAGAAGTGCTGAACACACCTGAGATGGCGATTGAGTGTGCCATCAGTAACCCTCGTACAGTGAATGTTTCGGAAATGTTTGCTCAACCAAGCATAAAGGTGATTTTTTTCTTCAAAATGAGGCAGCTGCCTTCTTTTGCTATCGAATCGTCGTAATGGCGCGTGTTTTAGGCGCTTCAACAAACCAATCCTATTTTGTACAAAACGCTAGAGGTTTTTGCGTATGGAACCCTAAAAGACCTTCCTGAAGGGGTAAGATTATAAGTACTGGAGTTGCTATGAGTTTGTCTCGTATGTTGGACAAGTTCAGGTCAACTTACCTCCTGCTGCATTGTCAAAATTACGGCAACTTTCGTTGATCAGCCTGGCAGCGAACAGCACATCAAATCGACAACTTCCGTATGCGGAGGTGATGCAATTGTGAGTGATGTAAATTGTGTTAATTTTTTCGATCTGTTTTGATAGGAAATTGGAAGGTAGTGCTTGCTCAGCACAAGAAAAAACTCCAGTTTCCACAAGGCCATTTCTAGTACAGGTGTCTCGGTCGTCTTTATAGTGCTGGCGATTTCATTTTTGATGTACATCACCTGTACTTGATTCGTGTTTACAGCAGTTTTGCTCCTGGAAGTAAAGGGACTAGTATAGAAATGGTAATTTTATGCGCATGGTATTGAAATCCTTTTCATGAACATCTCTTGTGAGCTGGTTACTGATACTGAAATTTGGAGATGTTTGACCCAATTTGATGGCCGCGTTTGAATGTTTTATTACTTGTGACCTTTTACTGGTCATTTCAGCGAATGTATCGGAAATTATTATACGCATCACCTCACGTCTCTCTGTGTGGGAACATATAGGTCATGGGCGTCTTCTCAAAAGAACACCCATTTCTGTGTAGGCTTTGTGATGCAGACTTGTGAATAAATGGAACTATTTCCCTGAAGTACGTTATGGTTCTAATGAGCCATTGTAGCTTCACAGGTTAGAGTTTTGGTCAACGCTTTCTGACGCATTAGTCGTTTTGTAAAGTTTAATGGAAATTCTCAAAACTATTTGTCATGCAAAAAATCATGACTATTCTACTGTAACATGCTACCTCACCATGTCCTCATTGTGTAAATCGCGGCACCAGTAGGTAAATAAAATAAAATAAATCTAACAGCAGAATTATGTACTCGAATTTTAGTCTTCGTTTGAATTCTGTGCGCGAGCTGGAAGATGTAGTTATTGATGCTATCTATAACAAGTTCATCAAGGCACGCCTCGATTCGAAAGGACAGTTCATTGAGGTTTGTCAGCATTACCTTTCCTTCACATGTAGTATTCTAGAATGAGATTAAAGAATAAAAGTATGTGCTTTGAAATCAGCTTTGCTGTTAAAAAAAAAAGCCTACAAAATCAGGTTGACACGATTTGCGGTGAGTTTGAACACGATTTCCTTTCCAGATTGATGACTGGGCGTCTCGCGATACTCCCGCAGACACAATTCCTGCTGTGATTGCATCTTTAAATGATTTCGCTCGACGTGTTGTGGACGTTCGAAACAACGCAGTTGAGGATGCAAACAGGTGTGGTTGCTTCACTTTTCGTTTACCCTTCAGGATAGCTTATAGTTAGTTTCTGACGTCTTGGTATTTCTCACAAACTTCCGTCGTTCCGTGAAACGGGTGCGGTTCGTTAGAAAGAAAGTTCCTGTTCCTCATTTAGCAGCGCGACTTTTCGCTTCGAGAACCCCAGGTCCACCACTTATCAGGCCCAATCATGGGTTCCCGCAGCGAAAATGTTCCGCGCTACGAAAAGCGGAGAAATGGCGTTCTGTTCTAGAGAACCACACCCCCGTTAAACGTGGGTCAAACCGAGGGCGTCCGGCTCACGCCCGCTACGGACGCACAAGTTTTCAACTGCGCATCCGTCAACTAAGGCATCTCTGACAATAAATCATATCTCATTTTTAAGCACGCAGCTGAAATCAAAGGATGAATTCACGATAAGATTGCTTTTTCAGCGTTAATTTGCCCTCTAAAGGCGTGATTTCAATTCATTATTGTGTAAATTTGTTTACCTTAGGAGGTCATTGATGCAATCTCTCTAGATCTAGCGTTCTGTCAGCAGGAATCTTCATCTCTCCACTGCCCTCTTCCATTCGAGTGTCGATTTTTTTCCGTAGTACCTCCACCCGTTAACATATGCAAATGCTATTTTCCAAATGCAAACGCCTTTTTTCTATCTTGATTTTTCTACCTTTCACTACGGCTAGCGCACCAAATGAGGTTCCGTTCTTTTCAAACTTTGATTGCAACTTCATTACATTGACAATTGATAACATAGCTACTATATTTTCACTGTATTTTGCGATTCCATTTTCCGTTAGCTCGTATTTCCTTTTCAAGGCGAGACGCTCAAGTGGTGGCTGACCGTAAACGGGTACAACAGGCTGAGGCGGAACTGGCAGCTGCGCGGAAAGCTCTCGATGAGTCCATGATGGCAACCATGAATTCTCACGAACCATCGACATCAGTTCGGTCAAAAACATCTCGTTCGGCACGACAGCGTCCATCACAAGCAACTCCAACCAACAAGTAAATGAAGATTCTGTGATCAAGCGTAACCGGTATGTGGCGACTTGTAGTCGAATGGTCTCCACTGTGTATGTAATGGATTTGTGTTTGCAGTTAATCGTCGTTGAATGCCATCATTAAGTAGGCATCATATAAATGTTACCGTACACGATAAACAACAGCTGTTCTTTAGTGATGAGTGTGGCGTGGTGTATTGCTGAAAACGCTACAAATGCCATTGCTCGTGAAGTGAACCCTCACCTTTCGTGCGCGCGGACTCGCAATTTCAGACAAACTTTCCAAACAAGGTGAAACTAATGAGTTCGCGTTCCGCTGTCAAATCGCACCATTCACTAACGATTATTAGCGGACGTCATCATCTCTGTGAATAGTAAGTCTGTTAACTGAATCCGTTTATAACTATCACAACGTGATACGATCCTAAGTGCCATTCGATGACTAGTCAGTCACTTATTAGAGTACCACAATGAGGAAAGGAGGGATACGTTCCCGAAAGAGGTTTCTCGAACGCTGGAATGTTTTCTATGAACAAATAGAATGGCAGAATCCAGGACAAAGTACAAATATAGTAGAAAACACACACGTACCAACCCTACTTTTCCCATTGTACACAACTGTTAAGTTAATGGAACCTATGTTGAATAAGTAAATCTATAAATATCGAAAGATAACAACTAACAGATATGAAAATAACAGTTAGCAGCTGATATCACTGCACCTAGCTATAAGGCAACTATTTTGATAGGCAAGGGACTAGGATAGCTGATGAGAAGGGAACACGTGGATACGGAACACCCTTAGAATTTTCGGTTCCAAGAGATCAAAAAAGGGCGCTATGTGCCTCGGGGGGGGGGCAGTCACCGCGCGCGGCTGTGCGGCAACAGGAAATTCGAACATTCCAGCTTCTCACGCATGTCATGTGACTGCCCTCACCCCCAACCCCCCTGAATTGGCTACACTCCCCCTGGCTCACGAATTTCCTGTTGCCGCAAGAGCGCGCGCGGCGACTGCCCCCCCCCCGAGGCACATTGCGCCCAAAAATAAGACAAGCTAAACAAGTTATTCGGGTACTATTACCTTCTGTGAAATAAAACTTAAATTGTAGATAAGCAACGAAATTTAAACTTCCTGGGCTGCGAACTCATTCAACAAATCATCATGAGCGGCATCGACATAGTCAAGGAAGGGTTGTATTGCTAGAAGTTCTTCTTCGGAGGGATCGGTCGTCTTTTGGCAACGCCGGATTTCCTTAATCGTGATTTTAGAGATGAGTAAACGACATAAAAAGGACAACATGCCATACCTGCACAGAGCTGATATGATACTGATACGAAAGAATCGCTTTACAGAGATTCCAGAAGCTGAATTCTGGCCATAAAACGTCATCAAAGTATATGTGGCAAGAAGAGCACTAAAACTCAAATGGGAATCAATGGAGGAACGCACGTATCAAGTCACAAATTTCACCTGCCAAAGGAGGAAGTCGCTTAATCGTTTCTCTCCGCTCGTACGAATAAGCAAATTAGGTTCACTTCCGTGCCGACTATCCAAACAACGTGAAATCAACCACTCAGATATCTGATTCTCTGCTACAAGTCCCTAAAAAAGTCAGCTAAGAACATGAAATAAGATAATTGTAAATTATAAAAAGCCTGTAGGACAAAGGGAATTCGCCGAAATGCTCGATTTGCTAAGATACTGTACCTTCTCTCTTCCTTTCCTGATCAACTCGAAAGCACGAGCAATTTCATCCCTCGAAGTATATGGCATGCATACGTTCACTACGCCACTGAAAATGATCGAAAAGTTGCTTCAAACCGCATAGCATTGGGTATACTAGCTCCGCTACACACAATAATGTATTAGTATTGAGCTAGAAGCTCACAAGAATGCAAGCAGCTGTACCTTTCATAGTCCTTCGTCAGAAGCTGAATCTGAGCTATATATTTGCGCAGTTTGGGTGGCAACATAGCAATATTGCCGAAAAATCGAAAGGAGATCTTTTTCTCCATCAACTTATCCCTAAACATCACACATTTGAAATCTCATGTGAGAAGGGCCAAAATTCAAAAACCAGAGACTGAGACCGAGGGAATTTTAAAAAATACTTTTCGGCCAGGAGCTTCGCAAACTTCTCCTCGGCGAGCTTCATCAAGCCATCCACTTCTTCTGAGCTACGTTTGAAATTTTCGATACTGAACGCATAGACAGTCACTTCCCGCACTCCTAATTCATGGCACCATTCCAAAATCTGAGAACATGCAAATATTTCGGGGAACCTTACATCCGTGAAGTGCGGAAGGCAAAGAGAGTAGAAATTTTGAACAAACCTTTGCAAGTTGATGGAACCCTTTTTCGTGGCCATGAATAACTGGGCCAAGTTGATGAGTTTTTGCAAATCGTCGATTTCCATCCATCACGAACGCCACGTGGCGTGGAACATGAAATGAAGAACAGTATGACTATGAATTTCTGGAACTGCGCAAGTATTATCCTAATGCGCGGTTGATATTTCTTGTTTCAGTCATAATCCTATGCAGTAGGCGTGAATCGTATAATGGCATGGGGCACTGCTTACCACGCGCACGTTCGGAAATAAAATCTTGCACCATACGCCGTCAGTTCAACCCAAATTTCCATCCTTTCGGTGTCGCTTAACACACTGATGACCGCATGACGCGCATGCGCGTCAAATTTTCGCGCAGATGAGCACCGTTTTTTCTCGATTTGCTTGGTATTTTTGTTAGGAAGTTGCCTGTTACACTATTGGATCCATATAATACTATACCCATATGAGTAACGAAATAATTGAAGGAGTAGTGCTGGTATAAAAATAGAGAAAACGATGCCGAGAGACACGTCAATGTGTTAATTGTGAACAGACATGTCCAGAAGGATACAAAGACCGACTTCTACAACGGCCGGTCCACAACCATTGTGCGGTCCAAATCGATATAGAATTAGGGTGTAACGCGTGGCGCATCTCAAAGAGGGTTGCCTTGACCATGCGGTCAATCTCAACAGAAGTAAAATAATTTTGAAAAAGTGTGCACCAATCAGAATGAACGACATTCCCTGGTGAAAATTCTAAAAGCCATCAATGCTGTGAAAAAAAGAGCCTCCAAAAACTTAAGTGTTCGTATGTTGCTGTTTTCCATGTGGGTTGAACTTGTGTTATTGCATCGTTTGTGTCAAGAGATTCCATGAACAATTCGTGCCAAAAAATGATTATAATGTACTCACTGGTCCTGACTTCACGAATGGCTTTGGCGATCGGATGCCACCATGCTCTCTCACTGAGAGTTGTATTCCACCATTCTGATACCTCATCTACATCGCCATCAGCCACCATTTCATAACCTAAGCGACAATTTTTACAATTTCAGACAGCAAGAAACGCAATTGATCGTCAAAAATAGAGCAATGGGTCGAAAAGTTAACGCATCGAGGTGCAAAACACTCAATCATTCAAAGCCAGAGAACATTTCCATGTTCGTACTTGCCTGGTCCCCCTTTTGTAAAGCAAAATGGCCTTGCTGGGACAAAGAATCGCAGCGCGATGCTTCCGCCCACTTGACTACACTATGCCAGCCTTTTTATAGATACGGAGAAAAGGATCTTGAGTTCAGAAGGACCAATGTACAATGAGCAGAAAATGACTTCGTAAGGCAAAGGCAACATGACTAAATCCAGTGTGTTAGATGTAGCTGGCCAAGGTGACGTCACATTTCGTGCATTGGGGTGCATTACAACGACTACGTTTCATTTTACGCTTCTTTCGCAACTGTGGGAATCCCCGTTGAGCATGGGTAGCTTCCGTCTTGCTGCTTTGCTACCTCTGTATCGGCGTCCACCAAGTGTGATGACTGAAACTGCGCCTCGTCTTGCACTCTAGAAATGCCGGTTAGTTGTGGTCATTCTCGTCATTTATATTTTACTTCAGTCTTATGTCTTTAAGGGTTACAATTGCGTATAATAAGTGGACGAGCAAATTCCCAGCGTTTTATGGGTGCTAAGTTAATTTGAGGGGACCACGCGGTATGGCGGCGCTCTGGTCATCTGCACCTGTGAGGCCTAGTCTGCGGTGCCACTGAATTTTGAAGATGGTACACCATGGGAATTGGTAACAGCCCCTATGACTAGGCTTTAGGCGCGGCGGCACGGCGCTAGAACAGAGCGCAGTGCCGCCGCGCAGTCTCCCCAAACTAAATAAGCACCCTTCTATGCAGGGCTGTAAATGTTCATTCCTAGCTTCTAGTGCTGAGATGGGATTTGCTGCAAGAACTGGCTACTATATTGCTAGTTTAATTGGGCGTGTTAAGTGTTTCGATCTCATTGATTGGCGCTCAGTTTCATGACTAAACTCTAGGTTGGAGGGCTCGCCACCTTCAATTTCCCGAGTTCCTCTCCCTCCTCGTCAAATAGGTGAGTGGGCTGCGGGGGTGGCGCAGGGAGACTACGCGGACCGCGCGTCTCAAGCGCGATGGTGCTAATTCTGGCTAGGAAGGAGTCATATTACTGTGAACAGGTGAGCTTGTGATTTTACAGAACCAATTTGACACCTTTGAGCTTGCCTTCTAGACCAGGTTTAGTGCTATCACGCTTGGGAGACCGCTCCGCCGCGTGGTCCCCACAATTCATGTAGCACCTTCACTTCCGTTTTTGTTCCACAAATCCGTCACCAAAAATCCGCGTGTGTGAAGTATTGGTAACAGTCGCCACGCTCGCAAACCATGCCAGTCTCAGGCCGATGTCATAGTTTGCGAATCGAGCGATTCGCTAGCGATCCGTGCGTTGCGCCTGCGAATCGAACTTTGCGACGCAGCAAGTCGAACTAGAGTGGCCGACGTAAGCAAACCAGCCCTTTTGGCGCTTCGGCTGGGACCGTATGCTGAATGTTGGGGAGGGGATGGAGTCCCCGACGGTGGACGGACCACTTCAACTCGGTCCTTAGAACCGCCACAATTTGGTGCTTACCTCAGAACTAAGCCTTAAAGAGAGGACGGGTCCGTCCCCTCTCCAAGGCTTAGTCCTGGGGTGAGCAAACCAGCCCTTCTGGCGGAGCTGCTGGACCAGCTGCACCACTTGCGTCAGTACTCTCCTATCGTACCAACCGAGTTGAAGTAAACCGTCGACCGTTGGGGACCCCATCCCCTCCCCAACATTCAGCATACGGTCCCAGCCGAAACGCCAAAAGGGCTGGTTTGCTTACCTCTTACAAGGGAATGCTTTGGACTTCCCATGGAACTTTGAAAGATGACCTGGGTATATCGATAGAGTCTTGAACGCTGATTGCAAATAGGGACACTATAACTGCTACGTGAACTTTCTTTGAAAGTTATGAGCCTTCAAAGTTGGCAAGAAGCGGACGCCATTTCATCAGGACAGCTAAGCGCTGACGAGGCAGGGTGGCGGCGGCGCAGTGGTAGAGCTCTCGCTCTAAAGGCGGCTGGTCGTGGGTTTGCTCCCGGCCGGAGCCAAAGTTTTTGCACACTGTTTTTTGAATCCAGCAAGGGTTGTTATTCCATTTTTTTCATTCATTCAAACAGGCGCCTTATCTGGGCGGGTAGTTCAAATGTTTGACGCGGGAGATCAAATGGACGTGGAGACATGTTATCGATTTGCATTCATTAATCATGCCTTTCTCCCCTGCAAAGGTAGTTTCCCTTCTTTACGCTGAATTCGGGTCACCCGAAGACAGCGTATTATCGTATTCCCTCGATTTTCTTTCCCAGAATAAATAGTTTCTAGGTAAGCTATTCTACCTTCGGGACGTATATTACAAGCGTAAATGGGAGTGGCTTTCAAATATTAATGAAGTAGAAGACACAAATCCTGATAACAGCCCTTGCTGGATTCAAAAAACAGTGTGCAAAAACTTTGGCTCCGGCCGGGAGCAAACCCACGACCAGCCGCCTTTAGAGCGAGAGCTCTACCACTGCGCCGCCGCCACCCTGCCTCGTCAGCGCTTAGCTGTCCTGATGAAATGGCGTCCGCTTCTTGCCAACTTTGAAGGCTCATAACTTTCAAAGAAAGTTCACGTAGCAGTTATAGTGTCCCTATTTGCAATCAGCGTTCAAGACTCTATCGATATACCCAGGGGCCGTAAGGTATGCTTCCCCGAATGGTTGCGGGGACGAAAGTCCCTTTAAATTTTTTGTTTTGAACGATACTGTTTCTTTATTTTCAATGCATGCTTACTTTAAGCTACACACATATATTAGATGTAGGCCCTTTATCAGGACAATCCCAGTTGGGACTACAGAGAAAATTTAAAGGAACTTTCGTCCCCTAACCCTTCGGGAAGCATACCTTACGGCCCCAGAATCATTGTCAAAGTTCCATGGGAAGTCCAAAGCCATTCCCTTTGTGAGGGCGGACCCAACGTTTAAAGAAGCCCGCCACTTTCAAACAGTGTCACGTGACAGTGGACGCTGTTTGAAAGTGGCGGGCTTCCTTTGAACGTTGGGTCCCGCCACTATTGAGTCGCTGGTACCTAGTTCGACTCGCTGGTACATCGTTCGACTCGCTGGCGCAAAGTTCGATTCGCTGGTGCAACGTTTGATTCGGTAGCGAATCGCTCGATTCGCAAACTATGACATCGGCCTCACACGGCGAACACCTGCGATTTGTCTGTGTTGAGGCGCATTTGTGCCGGCTCTTCTCGGTTGTACGCTAATATTTGGAAACACTTATGATTTGGCTTTTTTAATGTTCTCGGTTAAGACATATCATTAGAGCAACACTCCCAGATCAAATTTGTAGGGTCTTTGCCGAATTGACAAAAGATAAAGAAGAAGTAAAGAAAACCGTCGATGAAGCCTAAACAAAGACTATTCTCAAAATAGGGAAGGGGCGGGGCCAGACGAGTTGTACGAACTTGCCTGTTCCACGGCTCAGCTATTCGTGCGTATTTACATTAGCCACTACGTCGTTGCGTGTCATGGGATGTCACTCGTTCAAATGCTAAGATTAGTCGCCAAGCGCTGACTTGTAAGACCCTAGCGCCATTGTCGTGCACTTTGAGCCGCCACAACGACACATCGTGCTACTCGTGAGCAATCGTTCCCACCCACTCAATAGATTCCTCGACACGACTTCTGCTGGGGGTGTTGCTTCAATCTTCGTACCCAGGTTGGTCTGCAGTGCAGATCTAGTGGCATAAGCGTGGCAATAAATCGCGTCAAAAAAGGTGTAATTTCTGATGCTATCGATTATTTCATGCCATGTCATTGTGCTAAGTCTGCGCTGTAGTCTAACCTGGTATATGCTGTAGGTCGATGTCAGACTTTGCGAATCCAGCGAATCGTTGGATTCGCAAAGTCTGACATCGGCCGTAAGTGGATGATGTCGGCACATTGGAGGAGTTTTTGCAGATTCCAACAGAAGACGTGATTTCTCTATCTGGGAGTGGTTCCACAGTTGAAGATTTATCTAGTGGGAACGCTCCTGCTTTGGTCGATGATGCAGACATCCGACTAGGTAGGATATTCAAAAAAGTGTTTTCAGTCGCCTTGGGCTCTTATTCGAGGAAAGGTGAAGCGGTAGAGAAAACGAACCTCTCATTGCGGGTGCAGCTTGTAGTTTTTACTCTGAAGCATTCAAGAAAAACAGGTCGAAATCCAGTTCGGGGAGGGGGGATACTACATTGTGTTCTCTAACACTTAAGGCCGGTTTCAGAGTCAGCGATCCGTCGCAGGGTTCGCGAAAATCAGCGAAACCTGCGAGGGATCGCGGGCTCTGACACCAGCCTTAAGATAAAATGAGAGCGTTCTGAGGCGTATTCTGACTGACTCTGACTGATCGAATTATCTTATTCAAACTACACTACTGATAAGTACCGATGTGGTGTGGAAGTAACCTCGAGGGGCTACCACGGTTTGGTTTGGGTTGGTCCAAGGAAACGGTCCTGAATCAGGGGAATGAAGATCTTTGCTTGGGCTTAAGGGTGGTGGAGGAAATGTAGAGTGGATGACTTGGTGCAGATCATTGGATAGAATGTTGACAGGTTGTGTGCAATGAAGGACATCCACCGGCTTTTATAGCTTAAAGGACTAAAGGAGTGCATTTTAGGATTTAGTATAAGATAGCAAGAGGTGCCCCTTTCCCATCTCCCCGACTGGATTCCCATCAATAAGACAGATTATCATTAATTATTCATTTACGGCTTCTCCGTTTTCTGAACTGCATGAGATAGAAACAACGAAATAGTTTTTTGACGTGCTAGGCTAGATATAAGAGCAATGCTGCTTTTGGAGCATAGTGTAGGCATAGTATAGGCCGTTGAAAATTGTGCCTTAATCCTTACGAAAGCTAGATAACTTCAAACCAGTTTGTTTAGCACTAAAT